TTCTGATTAAAAGAAGAAGAAAAATTCTGCAACAATCCAAAAACCGAATACTGCAACCTGTATCAATTATGAAACGAACATTGTAATCCTATATGCCATATGTAATCTCCTCTACTTGACAGGGTAGGCATGTATAGGATTGCGAGGTAAGTTAATTTGCATGTCATCCTGCATTTCACATAATTTACAGCTTGCACAATTTAATTCAGCTTCTGCTAGTCATTCTAAGGAGCAGATTTGCATAACTTTTTTTTTTAACTTAGTCATGCATGGTAGACTGGTTTTTGCGTGTAAAAATGGTGTAGGTGGGGGGGGGAGCAGTGGAAACAGCTCCAAAAGCTTAAAATCACTTGGGGGGGGAATTTGGGTGGTTTCCTTAAAAAAAAAAGCTAAACAACTTTGTGGGTGTCAGGAATTTTACTTTTAGAAATATGGCAATCCTAATGCATGGCCCTATTGAGCAATTATTACTATTCATCGCAGAGAGATGCAAGGAACCAAGAAATTATTCAGCACAGTCTTTGAGATATTACTATGTCTCTTGCCTAGGTTTGCCACAGTAAGGATAATAAACAACAACTTATTTATACTCCGCCCATCTGGTTGGGTTTCCCCAGCCACTCTGGGCTGCTTCCAACAAAATATTAAAAATACAACAAAACACCAGACATTAAAAACTTCCCTAAACAGGGCTGGCTTCAGATGTCTTCTAAAAGTCAGATAGTTGTTTATTTCCTTGCCATCTGATGGGAGGGCGTTCCAAAGGGCGGGTGCCACTACTGAGAAGGCCCTCTCCCCATTCACCATCCCCACCACAAGCCATGAGCTGATTGTGCTGCTTTCTCATCCTCTTAGCGAATCACAGCACATACATTGCCCTGGACATAAAAGTCAGTTACATCAGGGGAAGTTTGATGTTGAATTCCAATGTGTTAGATAACAGCACACGGCTTTCAAACAAGACTCACCATTAAAGTGGTTTCTGCAGGAATTTTGATTCCTTCAATGACACATTCTTTTTCGGTCCAGCGGACAGTTCCTGGAGCTGGTGGATATAACCGCAGGGATTCTTTGAGAACCTAAGAGGGTAAAGGTAAAAAAAGCTATTTCGTTTCACCAACTAGCATGGTTTGTTAAATGGAAGGGTTGGGTTTTCATCTGGAATTCTTCCCACAGAAACTCAGCTCAGTCACAAGTTTATTGGGGCTATTTGAACTAATAACTTGTTCTCAGCCTTAATTCCCCTGTAAGTTTCCTACTTTGTATTTTTCTTGCAGATGGGGAATAAAAAAAGAAATCTACAGCGCAAGGCTACACATGTCTACTCAGAAGTACGTCTCAATGAGCTGCTTTGGCAGCAATGGCAAACCATGGTTTAGTGTTACAAGAATTATCTCCCTGGGTTTGACTGCTCCTTCTTTTCTTCAAACACATCCATGAGCAGTTAAGAAAGTTTCACAAAATTAAACAGCAGAGTTGTACCTCAAAAGTCAAACAAAATCTGTTCTGGAAGTCTGTTCGACTTCCGAAATGTTTGGAAACCCAAGTGCGGCTTCTGATTGGCTGCAGGAAGCTCCTGCAGCCAATCGGAAGCCGCGGAAGTCCTGTCGGATGTTCGGCTTCCAAAAGAACGTTTGAAAACCAGAACACTCACTCCTGGGGTTTGATCGGGAGCCAAAACGTTCGAGAACTAGGCAGTTTGAAAACCAAGGTACGACTGTATTTAGAGGTCTGATGACACACTGAATTGTGGTTCATCTAAACCAGAAATGGAAGTTTCTGATGTTCTTGTTACCATACCAGAAGAGAGGGAAGGGGAAAGTGCAAGAACCCAGCAGGAAGCTAGGCTTGCTCTCTGAGTGCTATGCTGTGGCCAAATGCAGCCCCTGTGTTCAGTGGGGCTGACTCCCAGATAAGCACTCATCAGGGATACAGATCAAGATTGCTCATTTTGCAGAACCAGAAAAAGTGAACCTCACCTACCATTTCATTGTTGTAGGAGTATCCTACTAGCAGCAATAGTTTCCTATCTAGTCCCCAGAGGAGACTGCCAGTTCTCCTAGCTCTTTAAAAACTGAAAATTAGAAGACAGGGCAAACACAGCAAAAACTGGCATGCTGTGCAAGGGAAAGGATTGCAGTGCCCCCCCAAAAAACAATGTTCTCTGAGTGCTCGGGAAATGCAATGGTAACAAAATATAGAACAGAACAGTTTATAGAATTTACAGTGGAATTTTGGTTCTCGAACAGCTTAATTGATGAACCAATCGGCTCCCGAACGACAAAAACCCGGAAGTAAATGTTCCGGTTTTTGAAGGTTTTTTGGAAGCTGAACATCCGCCGCGGCTTCCGCTTGTGTGCAGGAAGCTCCTGCAGCCAATCAGAAGCCACGCCTTGGTTTTTAAACATTTTGAGAGTCAAATGGACTTCCAGAATGGATAATGTTCGAGAAGCAAGGTACCACTGCATAAAGGAAGCATAACCTAATAAGAAGATCTGTGCACAAGAAATGAGTAAGAGAGACATATTTATTCCATCATGCCCGAACGAAAGGACCACATAGTAATGTGCTGTAAGGAAGAGATAGTTAATGCAGTGCCCTCCCACCATCCCTAACCACTGGCTGGTGACCTGTAATCCATAACATTTGGAGAGTACCATCTTGGCTGCTCCTGCACTAAGGGATTTTCTGCTGGCACTAGTTGAACTTCCCTACAGGGATGGACCAAGAAGAATTAGAGTCATTGCATATCCAGTGTTTGAACAGTTAAAAAAGTATCACAGTACCACATTTATTCTTCTGGAGGGTGATGCGTCAGGTAAGATTTCTTTGCACAGTCAGAATTCCTTATGAGAAACTGAGATTTTTTCCCCTCACGGTGTTAATATTACAGTTAAAGAGCTTTGAGATATTCTTTGCTCTAAAATGAGGCCTCAAGTTTCATCTTAAAACCAATGTCTTACTCTTAATGGCTAGGCATCTGGGAGCTTTTCAGAGCATTCTCCAAGTGTACCTGTGATAAGTATTTAAGCTCTGCGAGATTTTCATAGGCAACATCTCTCTTCACCCCAATGACCTCGTCCACTTCAGCCTGAAGTCTTAAGAAGGAAATGCAGGAGAAACGTTACTCAAAGGTCCGTGGATTGTTTATTATGCTAAAAGGCAGATATCTATCTTTGAAAGTATCTGTATTTACCGTATTTTTTGCTCTATAAGACACACCAGACCATAAGACACACCTAGTTTTTGGAGGAGGAAAACAAGAAAAAATATATTCTGAATCCCAGAAGCCAGAACAGCCTTCATCCCGCTGCCCTGAAGAGGCTTCGCGCGGCTAAGCCAGAAGCTAGAACAGTGAGAGGGAGCACTGCGCAGCGATCCCTCTTGCTGTTCTGGCTTCTGGGATAGCTGCACAGCCTTCATTCGCTCCATAAGACGCACACACATTTCCCCTTACTTTTTAAGAGGGAAAAAGTGTGTCTTATAGAGCGAAAAATACGGTACCTTCCTAGGACTAAGCAGCACCATAATTCACTCACACAGTCAAAATGCATATTGGTTTGGTTCGTCCAAAGATAAGAAATAATTGCTCCCAAATCATAGCCAGTTTAGGTGCCCTGGGTGGTTACAATCCAGGACACAGTTCAACACATAAAGAGAGAAGGGAGATGCAACACGTATAATAGTTGGAGTGTTGGACTAAACCTGGCAGACCAGGGTTCAAATCCTCACTCAGCCATGAAGCTCACTAGGTGATCATGGGCCAGTCACTCACTCTCAGCCTAGCCTATCTCATAGGGCTGTTGTGAAGATAAAATGGGGAGGAAGAGAACTCTGTGCGCCACCTTGAGCTCCTTTTCCTTTCTCCAGTTTCTGGATACAGTGGTACCTCAGGTTAAGTACGTAATTCGTTCCGGAGGTTCGTTCTTAACCTGAAACTGCTCTTAACCTGAAGCACCACTTTAGCTAATGGGGCCTCCTGCTGCTGCCACGCCGCCGGAGCCCGATTTCTGTTCTCATCCTGAAGCAAAGTTCTTAACCCGAGGTATTATTTCTGGATTAGTGGAGTCTGTAACCTGAAGCGTATGAAACCTGAGGTACCACATTAGACATACACAGAGTGCATAAAATAACTCAACGGACCGTCAATGGGTAGGAGGGACCTGCTAAAAAATAAAAATACAAATAAACGAAGAATAAAAGGGAATGGCGGACTTCACCCACTTCTTCAATATGTCAGGTTGCCGTCCCAGTTCCAATATGGTAAAAGACAACAAGTTGGCAGTGGTCTCGTGACCTGCAGGACAGGAAATCTAATTACTTTACTATTACGATCTATTAAATTTCTATACCACCTTTCATCCGAAGATCACAGGTTGGTTTACAAGACAAAAATACATACCGTAATAACAAATAAAAACAATATCACCACCACCACCACTCAGTTTAAAAGGCCACAGATTGTTTAATTAGCCAAAGGCCTGGTTGAAGAGGGACATTTCCGCCTGGTCCCTGGACATATATAATGAAGGAGCCAGTCGAACCTCCCTGGGAAGAGCATTCCACAAGCGGGGAGCCACCACAGAAAAGGCCTTGTTCTCATGTTGCCACCCTCCAGATCTCTCACGGAGGAGGCCCATGAAGAAGGGCCTCAAAGGATGATCACAGGGTCTGGGTCAGTCCATAATTAAAGGATGGAAGGGAAAACGGAATATAGATCTACCAACCTGCAATGAAGAAAGTGACGAAATTGTCCAGGAGAATTTCAGCATCGCAGTCCCCTTCCTCAGCTGTCAAGACAGGAAACCAAGAGTGAGGCTGACCTCCCTGCCCAAAAGGAAGCCTCCATGACAGATGGCCATCCAACCTCTGCTTAAAAACCCCCAAGGAGAGAGTCCACAACCTCCCAAGGGAGACTGTTCCACTGTCAAACAGCTCTTACTGTCAGAAAGCTCTTAATGTCCTAGTTGCCCTCCTTTGCACAAGTTCCAGCTTGTCAACATCCTTGTCAGCATCCAGAACTGGACACAGTATTCCAGGTGAGGTCTGTCCAAGGCAGAATAGAGTGGTACTATAACTTCCCTTGATCTGGACTCTAGACTTCTGTTGATTCGGCTTAGAATAGCATTAGCTTTTTTTGCTTCTGCTGCATCACACTGTTGACTCATGTTCAGCTCGTGGTCCATCAAGATCCCTAGATCCTTTTCACATGTACTGCTAGTGAGCCAAGTGTTCCCCATCCTATATTTGGTCCTTTCCAATTCTATGATTCCTTCAAAAGGAGTCTCCTACCCATGCATCATACTCAGTGTTGTGAGACTGTGGAACGAGAACTTAAAATTTACAGCATGTACCATCTTAAAAGAAAATACAATGAAAATGATGTGGCGATGGTACTTGCCACCTGTGAAATTGGCAAACATGTTTAGGATGAGTAGTAAATTACGCGGGAAGTGTAAAGATAAGGATGGTGACTTTTACCACATGTGGTGGTCATGTGAGAAAACAAAATCATTTTGGGAAATGATTTACAACGAAGTGAAAAAGATGTTTAAATATACCTTTCCCAAAAAGCCAGAAGCCTTTTTGCTGGGCTTGATGGGAGAGGAAATTGAAAAAGTGGATCGAAGTTTATTTATGTATGCAATGACCGCTGCTAGAATTTTGTTTGCCCAAAAATTGAAAGTACAAGAATTACCACTCGTGGAGGAGTGGCAAAGGAAGATGTTGGAACACGTGGAACTAGCAAAACTGACCTGCAGGATCCAAAATTCCAAAGAGACTGGAGTAAATTTATGGATTATATAAATAACACAGCATAGAAGGGGAAATTGGAGATTACTGTGGTTTTTAATGCTGGAACTTACACCTCTAGGAGACAGGGCATTGAGAGACACACCAATTAACCAGCCAGTCTTTTAAGATAAAAGATAAATAATAAACTGTAGGAACCTGAAGATACTAGCAGGACTGAAATAAATCTTACAGCGTGGACTGGGAAAATAAGAAGAGACTGCGGGAAGTAGATTGAAAAAGGAAAACCGGTTGGAGGGAGCGAGGGAAGTCATGGCTTGGCAGAGCGGCGGATAAGGAAATGAGTGGACGATGGATGAAATTTTTGTATTTGTTTGTGTAAACCAGAAAATTAATAAAAAGCATATTTAAAAAGGAGTCTCCTACCTGCACTCTTCAGTATCTGAGTCAGAATATCCAATGGGATCTCCTCCCCATTCTGGATGGCTTTGCGTCTCTGTTCGATACACTGGCTGCCAAAACGGCGCAGCAGCAGCAAGCTCTCCTGAACCTCTTTCACTTCTTTCCTGTACTTTGGCAGATACTAGACACATAGCAGATACTATCATGAGGAGGAGAGCAGAGCAAAACCAAGAACATATTACTGGACGGCATAGCTGTCAACAAAAAGCCACCTGCTAAGACAGAAGATAGCTGTGGCCCATTGGCGGTTCATGATCCCTTAGACAAGCATCCTTTGTGAACGCAACAGCAACCAGCAGGTGTTGAATGGTCCATTCCCACATATCAGAGATCGCTGATTGATCAGCAATAAAACGGCTATGCAAAATCTATGCGGGTCCTGCAGTTGTAACACGACAGTCTGGAAACAAGTAGGAAGAACAGGGCAAGCCCAAGCAAAAATGTTCAAGAGGCGCAGGAATGCTGGGGTGCAAAAGAACTAAGTTATAACATCACTTGCCAGTTGCCCAAACGGATTTGTCCGAGACTCTTGGAATAAGCTTGGCAAGCAATAATGTATGCTTCAGAGAGGGTCAGAGTTCCACGAGAAATGCCTGCACTGACCTTAAATGATGGATTGCGTGACTGACCCAGTCCTTTCATGATCGTGGACATCGCATGCGGAAAAGGCGTGCTCTCATCATGCAGGGTGTTCAGTTCAAGGCCAAAGGCTACCTGATAATGTGAAGAAAGGGGATCTAAAGCATCTTTGCATTCTGCCATCCTCCTTTGCAGTTCAAGCTCGATCTCTATTTCTCAAGCCTTTTAAACACCAAAGAGGAGGAAATGTTTTGGTACATTATACCTGTGGGGTTAAGGGACGCGGGTGGCGCTGTGGGTAAAACCTCAGCGCCTAGGACTTGCCGATCGCCTGGTCGGCGGTTCGAATCCCCGCAGCGGGGTGCGCTCCCGTTGCTCGGTCCCAGTGCCTGCCAACCTAGCAGTTCAAAAGCACCCCCGGGTGCAAGTAGATAAATAGGGACCGCTTACTAGCGGGAAGGTGAACGGCATTTCCGTGTGCTGCTCTGGCTCGCCAGATGCAGCTTCGTCACGCTGGCCACATGACCCGGAAGTGTCTCCGGACAGCGCTGGCCCCCGGCCTCTTGAGTGAGATGGGCGCACAACCCTAGAGTCTGTCAAGACTGGCCCGTACGGGCAGGGGTACCTTTACCTTTACCTGTGGGGTTCAGCTTGTTTTTGAGTTATAGAAATGTTAAAAAGCCCTTGGCTTCTTGGTCAGAAACACAAGAGGCTGTGTATGCGTGTGTACATTTTGTTATATATTTACTTAACATATATATAGCCTGCCTTTCACCTGAAGGTCCTGGCACAGAAATATACAAAATAAAACCAAAATTAAACACTATTAAAGCAAGCCAACATGAATTCCATACAATTAAAACAGCAACAGCAATTAAAAAAATAGTTACAACACATTGTTATTAGTCTGATGTCAGCTTTGCATGTCTTATGCAGCTGGGTGAAAGTTGAGCTGGGGAATCGCAGCATTCCTCTAGATACTTGGCAAAAATTATTTATTTGTGCTGTGGCTCTATTCAACAGACATTCAATGTAAGATTTTCTTTCCCTATGTGTTAGCCCAAAAGGGTGAGGGCTTCCCAACACCCTTTCCTCCCATATTAAACTTGTCCTTTGTGCTGCCCTTTGACTCAATTTGACTCAGAATGAGAGGCATCCCCTGCTCCTTAATGGAAACAGGAAATTCATCTGGCGAGTACCTTTGCAATGACGTCCAGCGTCACGCGTTTCAGCAGGCTCATCACATCCACCGCAGTTTCTCCATCGGCTTTTTCATCCAGCACCCTCATAAGCTCTTCTGTTTGCTCGTTAAAGGGCCCCATCAAGCCCATCAGGTAACTGTGAAATTAATAAAAGCAAGCAAAGGCAGGACTTTGCGGTCAAACTGGAAGCTGTCCAAGGTGTGGAAACGAACATAAGAGCGAAAACTGGATCAGGCCCATGGCCCATGCAGTACAGCATTCCATTCTCACAGTGGCCAAGCGAGCAAGACCCAAGAACATGGTTACTTTCGCCTCCTGTGGCTTCCAGCAACACACACACAATTATTTCTGCCTTCAACATGGAGGTGAAACACAGCACAGCTACTTGGACTATAGCTTAGCATGAACGTGCAGGTTCTCCAGAGAGGAGATTGTGGCTACTTTGCTCCTCTCCACATCTGGTCCTCCTGCTGCTGTGAGCTAAGCTGTGGTTTGTCTTAGTTTATTGCCTAAACCCACACTCATGATTTGTCTTGTGCCAAACTTCAACCAAGGTTTGTCCTTGGTTTTACACTGCCTATGGTTTGTCTGGAGGGAGACAAACCATGAATCCTGGTTCAGACAACCTGCTAACCCAAATCATGGATTAGCTCACAGCAGCAACAAGAGAAGTAAAACAGTCACGATTGCCTCTCCAGAAGCCTGCACATTCATACATCATTGCTGTTTGGGCCATAAGCACATTTAGAGATAGGTGGTTAGGTTATTAACATGAACCGAAATGTGCAGCATCACTTAAGAAAATACATTCTGTTTTAATATCTACTTGCGACTGAAGGCCGGGTCCATAATTTTCCGCTGCTTGTGCCAGTGGTCATAATCACGATCAGTCACCAAGCCGTTCCCTAAAAATCTGAAAAAAGATGGAGAATTTTTATTACTATTTCAGGACCAGTTCTGATATCCTGTTCTGACCCACTGTCCTGCTCCTGGAGATTTATGGACACAGAAGCTGACAGCTGGCCAGAGGCAGTGACAGAATCAAAGTCTGATGGCAAACAGACAGCTAAAAACAGGAGTGGCAAAAGTCAAACAGAGCAGCAGCACTAGATGCTGTGTCCAAAGGTCAGCTGAAGGAGGGATCCAGTTAACAGCTAGTAAACCAAAACACACACCTCAGCAAGCTGGTAAAAAGACATTGTTCCAGCACTCTGTGTCTGGAACTGAAGACATTTAAGCAGAACCTTCACAGCCCCATGCAGGGCTTCTGTGTTGCCTGAGAATTGTGCCTATCTGTGAGGAGAAGCTTATTCATGAGTACCCCTGAAGAGTCCTTGCTCCTCTGGTGAAAGACTGACCCTATTGTTATTATTATTGATTAAATTTGTATACTACCCTTCATCTGTAGATCTCAGGGTGGTTCACAACATAAAAATAAAAAGGGTACGTTCTATCATATGTGGTGGACCTGTAAGAGAGTAAAAGAGAATTGGGAAGTAATTCATAATGAATTGAAAAAAATGTTTAAAAGTACCTTCCCAAAAAAAACCCAGAGTCCTTTTAGTTGGGGATAATTCAGATAGAATTTCCCAGGTGTCGAAAAAGGTTATTTATGTATGCCACTACTGCAGCCCATGTTTTGTTACCCCCCAAATGGAAAATGAGCCAGGTCTTAACTAGAGAAGAATGGCAACTTAAACTGATGGAATATGCACAGCTTGCGGACCTAAGAGAACAAGAAGAACATACGTTTAAAGAAGATTGGAAAATGTTTACTGAATATATGGGGGGAAATTGTGTACACTTGAAAACATTGGCAGCATTAAGATAAATTCAACAGTGTGAATAAGTTTTATTTATTTATGTAATTTATGGAATAATGGAATACTGAATGGTATAGTTTCTGTAAAATATGCAGGGATTTAAGTTATGCAAAATGAACCATGGAAAGAGAAGAATGGAAGTCACTGATATTTTAAGATTGTTTAAATTAATATTCTAAAATGTAAAACAGAAAATTTCATTAAAATTGCAGGAGGGAGAAAACCCAAAATGCATAATAAAAGCAAGCACAAAAACATAACAATACCCCATCCCTAGCAACACATTTAAAAGGGTATTGGGTGTTAATCAGCCCAAGACTGAGTTAAAGAAGAACTGTCCTCTCCAGACACAAAAGGTGTATAATCTCCGATTGACAGAGCTTCCAGATCTCTCTCCTGTGTCAGTTCCAGAAAGTGGCAATAGGATACTCTTGCGTCAATACCTTAGACTGTTGAGTCTTGTCTCCTACGCTGCTCCAATATCTGTATGAAACCGCTTAGAAATGCCATCCAGCACTTGGGGGTCTGTTGTCATCAATTCATAGGTTTGACACCTGGATCGCACAGCATTTCCTGCACTTTTTATTTATTTGTTTATAAAAAAATATGCGTATACTGCGCACTCATAGAAAATATCAAGGTGGTGTACAAAATAATCGTTTAAAATGATAGGCTCATTTGGAAGAGAAAAAAATTGAGAGCTGAATTGACCTGTCCACATAAAATAGGTCTCCCAAGAAATGTCTGAGAGTTAGCTGTGAGGATGACTGCCAAATCCCTGCCGTGAGGGTGGTCCACAGTCTGGGACTAAAAGGTAAAGGGACCCCTGACCATTAGGTCCAGTCGTGATCGACTCTGGGGTTGCAGCGCTCATCTCGCTTTATTGGCCGAGGGAGCCGGCATACAGCTTCCAGGTCATGTGGCCAGCATGACTAAGCTGCTTCTGTCGAACCAGAGCAGCGCACGGAAACGCTGTTTACCTTCCCGCCAGAGTGGCACCTATTTATCTACTTGCACTTTGACGTCCTTTTGAACTGCTAGGTTGGCAGGAGCAGGGACCGAGCAACGGGAGCTCACGCCGTTGCGGGGATTCGAACCGCTGACCTTCTGATCGGCAAGTCCTAGGTTCTGTGGTTTAACCCACAGCACCACCCACATCCTTTAGCCTGGTACTAGCAAAGCAAAATACTGAACTTCCAGCTGAAGCCAGTCAGCGCTCTGTTGAGATGGGGGGGAAATGAACAGTGCTCCTCAGGATATTCTCAGTGACTGGGCTGGGATATAAGGGCTCAGGTGGTCCTTAAGGAATCCTGAAGCCAAGTTATTCAGTGCTATCCATTTCTGCATATAAGAGAGCCTAAAGAAATTCACCTGCCTGGTGGCATTAACAATCACAACCTTTTTCTGAATCAATGGAATTTTCTCATCCCACACGCCACGTACATCTTAGCTATGTACATCTTACCTACCGTACACCGCATAAATTAAAAAGACGTCCATATGAAACTGGATCCTTTGGGTATTGTGGTAACATCAGGAACTCCTAAAATTAAATCATTTCGTCAGTCCTTATTCACATATACCATATTTTTCCATGTATAACACACACAACGTGTATAAGATGCCCCCTATTTTGGGGGACTCAAAATTAAGAAAATGCACTATGCACTATCCGTGTATAAGACGACCCCTTATTTTAAACTTCAAAAAATTAGGGGAAAATATAGCCTTATAAACAGAAAAATATGGTAATTCATGTGGTCACAATGAATACCCTCCGCTAAAATTGTGAAGAGGGAATAAGATATACAGGGCTGCCTGCATCCCACCAGTGTTTAGAGTGTGGGATTTGGGGTATTTAAATTTGGGGTGGGCTGGGAGGTCTTCACCTTTCTGCCTTGAGAGGGTTCAATGTGTGAATGTTCACCCAAAAAGTGGTGTCAGAGTATTTCCCCCCAAAAGTTTTAAATGCCTTTTTGTAAGACACATTCTGAATCAACAAATCCTGATTCAGAGAAACCTCAGATATGTATAACTGGGTGTGGGGAAAATTGTGGAAAGCTGATATAAAATTCACAGATAGCATACTATTAAGAGAGAATTACATGGAAATGATGTATAGATGGTATGTCACACCAGTAAAAATGGCAAAGATGTTTAGGAAAGAAAATAACAGATGTTGGAGATGTAAGGAAAAGGAAGGAACATTTTATCATATGTGGTGAGAATTGAAACGCATTAAGATATTGGGAAACGATATACAATGAATTGAAAAAATGTTTTAAAATGATTTTTGTTAAACACCCTGAAGTCTTTTTGTTAGGTATCTCAAATCAAGAGCTACCAAAAGAAAAATAGACATTATTTATGTATGCTACAACAGCGGCAAGAATCTTGATTGCACAATATTGGGAGACAGAAGAAATACCATCAAAGGAACAATGGCAAGAAAAGCTGATGAACTACGCAGAATTGGCTAAGCTAACAGATAAACTACGAGAGAAGGACAAAAAGGACTTCAAAAGAGTCTGGGAGCCATTTACAGTTTATTTGCAGAAACAACAGAATGGACTGGGTTCACTGGCAGGATTTGAATAAACTTTCACAATTTCATTTGAGTAACAGATATTTTAGATATTTCAGAGAAATGATAAGGGATTTTATTTTTGTGTAAGAAAATCAGGATACAATAAATAAAACTAAATAACTGAGCAGAGGGGGAGTTGAGGGAAGTCCAGAGGAGGGGAGGGAGAATAATTGTAAATAACATGATGAATGAGATTTGTAAAAAGATATGTTTAACTGAGGATTGGAGAAGATCAGTCTACATCCCAATCCCAAAGAAGGGAAGTGCCAAAGAATGTTCCAACTACCGCACAATTGCACTAATTTCACACGCTAGCAAAGTTATGCTTAAAATTCTGCAAGGAAGGCTCAAGCAGTATGTGGACCGAGAACGCCCAGAAGTGCAAGCTGGATTTCGAAGGGGCAGATTTCGAAGGGGCAGAGGAACCAGAGACCAAATTGCAAACATGCGCTGGATTATGGAGAAAGCTAGAGAGCTCCAGAAAGACATCTACTTCTGCTTCATTGACTATGCAAAAGCCTTTGACTGTGTCGACCACAGCAAACTATGGCAAGTTCTTAAAGAAATGGGAGTGCCTGATCACCTCATCTGTCTCCTGAGAAATCTCTATGTGGGACAAGAAGCTACAGTTAGAACTGGATATGGAACAACTGATTGGTTCAAAATTGGGAAAGGAGTACGGCAAGGCTGTATATTGTTTCCCTGGTTATTTAACTTATATGCAGAATTCATCATGCGAAAGGCTGGACTGGACGAATCCCAAGTCGGAATTAAGATTGCCGGAAGAAATATCAACAACCTCAGATATGCAGATGACACAACCTTGATGGCAGAAAGTGAGGAGGAATTAAAGAACCTTTTAATGAGAATGAAAGAGGAGAGCGCAAAATATGGTCTGAAGCTCAACATCAAAAAAACGAAGATCATGGCCACTGGTCCCATCACCTCCTGGCAAATAGAAGGGGAAGAAACGGAGGCATCGAGAGATTTTACTTTTTTGGGCTCCATGATCACTGCAGATGGTGACAGCAGTCATGAAATTAAAAGACGCCTGCTCCTTGGGAGAAAGGCGATGACAAACCTAGACAGCATCTTAAAAAGCAGAGACATCACCTTAAAGCCATGGTTTTCCCAGTAGTGATGTATGGAAGTGAGAGCTGGACCATCAAGAAGGCTGATCGCCAAAGAATTGATGCTTTTGAATTATGGTGCTGGAGGAAACTCTTGAGAGTCCCATGGACTGCAAGAAGATCAAACGTATCCATTCTTAAGGAAATCAGCCCTGAGTGCTCACTGGAAGGACAGATCCTGAAGCTGAGGCTCCAATACTTTGGCCACCTCATGAGAAGAGAAGACTCCCTGGAAAAGACCCTGATGTTGGGAAAGATGGAGGGCACAAGGAGAAGGGGACAACAGAGGACGAGATGGTTGGATAGTGTTCTCGAAGCTACAAACATGAGCCTGACTAAACTGCGGGAGGCAGTGGAAGACAGGAGTGCCTGGCGTGCTCTGGTCCATGGGGTCACGAAGAGTCGGACACGACTAAACGACTAAACAACAACAACAACATGTTTAACTGGGTGTGAGGCTGGCACTCACACAAGATGGACATAGCAGGGAGGTTTGCTATTAGAACTTCATAGGGAAACCTAGAGTTTACCCATTAGTGGGTAATGTGGGGTTGGGAGGGATTATTGGGTTGTTCTTGTTTTTATTTTGATGATGTATTGCAGGCATAGGCAAACTCCAGCCCTCCAGATGTTTGGGACTACAATTCCCATCACCCCAAAAATAAATTATTATTATTATTATTATTATTATTATTATTATTATTATTATTATTATTATTATATCTCTGACCACTGGTCCTGTTAGCTAGGGATGATGGGAATTGAAATCCCAAACATCTGGAGGGCCGGAGTTTGCCCATGCCTGGTGTATTGTGTTTTTATATCGTGATTTTATCCTGTGAACCTCCCTGAGACCTGTGGGTATATGGCAGGATACAAATTTAATTATTATTAATAATAATAATAATTCTAAACATGTTTAATTGGTATTGAACTAAGGGAACTTTATTTCCAAAAAAGCGCACTGAGGAGCACAGCAATCACCGAGTAAAAATTTATGATTGCTTTTCATGGCAAATTTGAAATCACCACAAGGCAATTCCTGTGAACTGAACTTTTTGTTATCGGTCTATCTATGAACGCAGGCTCTCTGAATGAGTTATATCCCTCATACCCATCTCCTTCCATTTCCTTAGCAATTCTAATTCCTGCACCCCTGCTATATTTCATCCAAATGTACAGAATTCTTTTACTGAGAAAACAAATGGTTTGAACCATAGGGATTAAACCAGAGATGCTGAGAAGTGTGTGATTCAGCAGTCTTCCTGAGCTACTTGTAATGTGGTGAAGTTGGAGGGTGGGAGTGGGGATAATTTAGTCCTCTTATAGACCACTTAAAGATAAAGGTAAAGGGACCACTGACCATTACGTCCAGTCGAACGACTCTGGGGTTGCGGCCAGTATAGCTTCCGGGTCATGTGGACAGCATGACTAAGCTGCTTCTGGAGAACCAGAGCAGCGCACGGAAACGCCATTTACCTTCCTGCCGGAGCGGTACCTATTTATCTACTTGCACTTTGACGTGCTTTCGAACTGCTAGGTTGGCAGGAGCAGGGACCGAGCAACGGGAGCTCACCCCATCACAGGGATTCAAACCGCCGACCTTCTGATCAGCAAGTCCTAGGCTCTGTGGTTTAGACCACAGTGCCACCCGCGTCAATAGACCACTTACTATATATTAAAAAATGTACTCAAGTGGCTTGTAATAAGGTGTTAAAGACTCTAAAACAACAAAGAGTCAAGGTCTCTATCAGTCACGGCTTCTCCCAAAGAATCCTGGGAGTTGTAGTTTGATCAATGTGCTGGGAGTTGTTAGGAGTTACCTACTGTCTTCACAAAGCTACAACTCCTAGAGTTCCCTGGAAGAGTGAATGATGCATAATACACTAAATACTGGAATTCTGAAAAAAACACTTTCATTTTCATGCTCAGAGGGGAAAACCGCAAAATATACCTTTACTCCTTCAGGACTTAATACCAATACTACGACTCTGTGAAAGGCATTAAAACGCAAGATGGGTCCATATTCATTAGCCCTGTGAAGGAAGATATTTGAACAGTAGTAAAAAGTGACCATACGATCAAGTTAATGACCATATTTATCTATCAAACAAGGTGTAAGAAATGCTGCTGCCATACTAAGCACATACTAAAACAAGAGACATCGTATTTTTTCTTTCTTTCTAAGGTCATTGCTGTGTAAAGACTTGAAAGGAAATTCCTGAACATGGGTTCACTTAATAATAATAATAAAGCCGTATCTCTACTGTCAGGGATATGAGAATATGTTCCCCAGCACACAGGGGCAGCTGGAGTATATATAAAATATTCAAGAGAGAGATGAACTGCCCATAGTACTCCATGCTCCTGTAACTTCCAGATGGGATGACTGCAATGTATTCTACAGGGAGCTTCCCTTGAAGATGACTCAGAACCTTCAACTGGTCCCAAACACAACAGCCAGATTACTTGCTGGGGTTTCCTTTAGAAGCCCTATTCTAAAAAAATTGCATTGGCTGCTGGTTCATTTATGAGCCCAACATCTGCTCACCCTAGCCTTTAAAGCCCTAGATGACTTGTGCCTCAAATAACTGACAGACCACCTCCTTCCCTACAGACCCCTTGAGGTGTTATGTTCAGCAGTGGTAATTCCACCTCCCTCAGAAGTTCAGAGGTGGCGGCAGCCCCAAAGAAGGCATTCCCTGTTGCAGATATTAAATATTGCACAGTCTGAAGCGACTGGAAGCATAAGAACCGACTCCTTTGGAAATGAAACATTGCCGAGGCCCACGGAAATATTTTTCAAACTTTTACTGGCAAAACTTTAGTTACAACAGAATTAAAACATCAAAAACATACATACAATGTCTTGTGCTGTGCAGCACAGGCTTGGCACCTTACAAAATATGTAATGTTAAGCAATATTATCACTTGTCACGGTCAGAGAGGGACTAACAGCCACCACCCTTTCCAGAAGGCAAATTTGCAACTCAGTAGCTTCATCACATGACCAAAGGTTCACTCTCAGTACCCAGGCAAACAAAGCAAATTTCTACATTGGCTAATCAGCTTTCAACACCACAAACACAAAATTATATCACACCCAAGTATCTGCTTCTTCAGCGAGGCTAACATTTGGAGTTTTCACACTTCTTCTGAACAGGATGAGAACTAGTTATCGTATTATTTTATTATTGACGAAGTATGTACAATTAGTGGGTGCCACACAAAATTTCAAAAAGAACAGCTTCTGTCTGCAGACATGCATTTAAATATTTTTTTAAAAAACAGACAAACCAAGACAGCATATAGACTGCTGGAAATGCAATTCATTATCTCATATTTTAAACTACTTGATTATTATTTTTTTACATACCATTGCAAGAAGAGCTGATGAGCACATTCATTATTTTTCAGCATTCCCCATAGCATTGGCAGGTGGCCCAAGAAAAAGCTGCAAAAAAATGTTAAAGGCAGAATTTAAGGCATGTAAGGCACACATATACATGGAAGATGCAGTCAGGTGAAAAGGAGGACATGGATCCTGCCCTTTAATCATTGTCAAGGCTGGCTACACAGCCAGCAAGATGATGATGATGATGATGATGATAATAATAATAATAATATATTCTTTATACCCCGCCCATGTGCCTGAGTTTCCCCAGCCACCCTGGGCAGCTCACAATCGAGTGTTAAAAACAATACAGCACTAAATATTTAAAACTTCCCTAAACAGGGCTGTCTTCAGATGTCTTTTAAAGATAAGATAGCTGCTTATTTCCTTGACATCTGATGGGAGGGCGTTCCACAGGACAGGCGCCAATGCAGATCTCTCAGGAGCCGGTGTTATGTGGTCTCGGCAGCCACTCCCAGTCACCAGTCTAGCTGCCGCATTCTGAATTAATTGCAGTTTCTGGGTCACCTTCAAAGGTAGCCCCATGTAGAGTGCATTGCAGTAGTCCAATCAGGAGATAACTAGAGCATGCACCACTCTGGCAAGACAGTCCGCAGGCAGGTAGGGTCTCAGCCTGTGTACCAGATGGAGCTGGTAGACAGCTGCCCTGGATACAAAATTGACCTGCGCCTCCATGGACAGCTGTGAGTCCAAAGTGACTCCCAGGCTGTGCACCTGGTCCTTCAGGGGCACAATTACCCCATTCAGGACCAGGTAGTCCTCCACACATAACTAGCTTTTTTTCTTTTCTTTTTTACGATGCCTCTCCTGGCTTAGAAGCCATGATTTTCTGTTGCTACTGTCCAAACTTTTCCATATAGGAAAGCCTTGAAAAGTAAACTCTGTATTTCACAAGTGAAGTTTAAATTCCATTTCAGGGTTCCATATTCACTGGATGTCCGCGGGCAGGTAGGGTCTCAGCCTGTGTACCAGGTGGAGATGGTAGACAGCTGCCCTGGATACAGAACTGACCTGCGCCTCCATGGACAGCTGTGAGTCCAAAGTGAGTTCCAGGCTGCACACCTTGTCCTTCGGGGGCACAGTTACCCTATTCAGGACCAGGGCGTTGGAGTAGGGCAGAGCTGTGTGATTTGATATTTTAAAAAAGGTAAAGGACCCTGACAATTAAATCTAGTCGAGAATGACTCTGGGATTGTGGCGCTCATCTCGCTTTACTGGCCGAGGGAGCCGGCGTACAGCTTCCGGGTCATGTGGCCAGCATGACTAAGTCACTTCTGGCGAAACCAGAGCAGCGCACGGAAGCGCCGTTTACCTTATCGCCGGAGCAGTACCTATTTATCTACTTGCACTTGGACGCGCTTTCGAACTGCTAGGTTGGAGTGATTTGACATAAAGGTAAAGGCAAAGGTACTCCTGCCCGTACGGGCCAGTCATGACCGACTCTGTGGTTGCGTGCTCATCTCGCTTAAGAGGCCGGGAGCCAGCGCTGTCCAAAGACACTTCCGGGTCACGTGGCCAGCGTGACGAAGCTGCTCTGGCGAGCCAGCACCAGCGCAGCTCACGGAAACACTGTTTACCTTCCCGCTATAAAGCGGTACCTATTTATCTACTTGCACTTAGGGGTGCTTTCGAACTGCTAGGTGGGCAGGAGCTGGGACCGAACAACGGGAGCTCACCCCGCCACGGGGATTCGAACCGCCGACCATACGATCGGCAAGTCCTAGGCACTGAGGTTTTACCCACAGCGCCACCCGCTTCCCTGTGATTTGACATACAATACACAAATTCTATCACCAGCCAATGGCTCCTCTCCAGATTTACACACAGTCTTGCTAATTTTATGGGTGGAATGAGAACAGTACATAGACTATGGCAGTTCCTCCCGCCCCCCGCCCCCCCCCCAATTATCTGCCAGCTGAACAGGGCAAACTTGTGGATCCCGTCTTGCAGAAGAGGCATATGCCTTGAAAATTCCAGCGTGTTAAGAGCCAGAGACTTACAACATCAAGACTCAGAAGAGTACCCAGCTGTTGGACTTGACTTTGATGGAGCTGCCTGTGGAAATCCCCACTCCCTTGCTCCCCCCCTGCCCAGACCACACCTAGACCTTTCCTTCTCTCAAATACTGGGGTTACACAGGAATTGTTCTTGGGGCAGCAAATTATTCCAAAGGGAGGGCAAAACACCAAGAGATGAGTAGGAACAAATGAGAATGTTGGCCTTGCCTCCTATCTCAGGTTCCAAATATTTTAAAACTTTTTTTAAAAAAAGGAAGTTGGGAATCGGGTGCCAAGGTTGGCAGTCCCTGATTTATCACATCTTTCTATGTCCCTTTAAATGTGTTTGTGGGAGGAGGGTTATTGGTTTGCTTTTTATTTTTAATGTGCATTTCATGTTCTCATTTTGTATTTTTATGTTGTGAAACTGTGATCTTCAGATGAAGGGCACTATACCCATTTAATAAATAATAACAGCAATAGTAGTAATATCCCAAGGAGCTCAAGATGGTGCTGCACATTTTCTCTCTTCTCCATTTTAGCCTCACGGCAACCCAAAGATGAAGCTTAGGCTGAGAGAGTGTGTGACTTGCCCAGTTCCACCTAGAGAGCTTCAGTCTAATACTCTAACCACTGCACCACACTGCCCACTGCCCAAGAAACAAATGACAGTTGCCAGCTGTGGTGTCTATGCTCACTCTAACCCAGCTCTTGCTTCATAGGTAAGGTTTAAAAACTACCGTATTTTCCGCTCTATATGACGCACCAGATCACAAGATGCACCTAGTTTTTGGAGGAGGAAAACAAGAAAAAAAATATTCTGAATCTCAGAAGCCAGAACAGCAAGAGGGATCGCTGTGCAGTGAAAGCAGCAATCCCTCTTGCTGTTCTGGCTTCTGGGATAGCTACGCAGCCTGCATTCGTTCCATAAGATGCACACACATTTCCCCTTACTTTTTAGGAGGGAAAAAGTGAGTCTTATAGAGCAAAAAATACGGTATCTTGAGTTCTTATTAATATCTAGAAGCGTGGGTCTAACTGCAAGGGGCGTGGAACTGTACACAAAGCTTCTTTGTGAAATTGCCTGGACTTCCACAAGCTGGGAAGGAATCTGAGGGGGTGCAATTTTAGTTTCTCGGCATTCTGCAGGGTGTTTTGCTTTGGGGGTGGGTTGGTTTTGGCTTCAAGTCTAGGCCAGCCTTGCCCCCCCCCCCCGCTACCTGGTACATCAATAGTGGACTGCATTGCAAGATTGCCATAAACTCCTCTCTGCTACAGTGTGGTCCCCTCCACAGTAGACTGTACTTGTATTGGGGGGGGGTTAAAACATTAAAGTTCAACATTGTTCATGCAATAAGATCTAAATCTGAAACAGCAGGAGTCTCTTGACATAGCTCTTGCTTCTATCCCAGAAGAGACAGGTGGAATACTACCAGACTGCCACTAATTTCCGATACGATTCAAACACAAATGCAAGTTCCACAATTCAAGCCAATCTGCTGCTGCTGTTGCATAACAAACAAAAAAACCCAAACGACTTTTTTTTATGTTCCTCGGGATTTATTTGCACAAAGTTTGCAAAAAGCTTGGACAACATCTGCTATTTATTGAGTATTCACTGCAAACTGTACGCGGGGAGCTTGTAGATGTTGCAAACAATCCGGTCCATTTCCTCCATGGCTTTCCTTATCGATGAAAAAAACGGGGGGGGGTCTGATTTGGGGAGGGGGTTCTTTGAGCAAGTAGAACACCAAACCAACTTCAACTGAGCGACATGAATTTGCTCCAGTCTGGATCTTTGCCAAAAGCAAAGAAGCGAAAGGAAAATGAACTGGATAGCGCCTGACCAAGATGAATCATAAACAGGTTGCTTGGAAGGAGTGGGGGAGGTTGAACCTCCACATCCTAAACCCGCCATTTACGAGAGAGTAAACCCCATTGAAGTTTGCTTACTTTTGAGCAAACATAGGCATGCGCGGAAAGTCCCCTTGAACATAGCAGGGTGCTTCCTTCTGCGTAAAAACGCACGGATTGTACTGGGAAGAAACCAGGAATGGCACTCTTCGGAAGCTTACTACCCTCCAGATATTTAGGGCTACAAGTCTCATTAACCCCAGCCAGCATCGGGGGTGGGGGGTGGGGATCCAGGCCGTTGACTGCTGCTCTGTAGTTTATCCTGCTTCCCTGGATAGAATCGGGAAAGGAAACTTGTCGACTCCCGCTTCTTACCTCGCCCTCGGGGCGCTGGGGATGTAATCGTATTTCATATGGATAGACTTTAGGTAGCAGCAGTAGAGGCCAAACGCCAGGAGGGACACGGCCAGCAAGAGGCGCAGCAAGCCCCAGATCACCTCCAGCGCCTCCATGGCGGCGGAGAGCTCAGCTTCGGCAGGAGCGAAGCCAACCTCCGCCTCTGTCAGGCAAGGAAAGGCCTTTAGACTGGGAGGAGCCAGCGCGCAAAAAGCCTTTCCCTTTAAAGATACAGCCCGCGCGCAATTGCTAACTTAGCTGGAGAGGCACATTCCCAAGCATCCATAACGGTTTCCCCTAGGAAAGAAATAAAAACCCGGTCAGTTTTGTGCAAGTGGTGCTCACATCGGACTGAACTGGGACTGAGAGTAGTAGTAGTAATAATAATAAGAATAATAAGAATAATTTATTTATTCTATTTATTTGGTTTCCCCAGCCACTCTGGGCGGCTCCCAACAGAATATTAAAATAAAAATAATCTATTAAACATTAAAATCTTCCCTAAACAGGGCTGCCTTCAGATGTCTTCTAAAAGTCTGGTAGTTGTTCTTCTCTTTGACATCTGGTGGGAGGGCGTTCCACAGGGCGGGTGCCAAGGTGGAAGGAAGGATGCGCGTCCAGCCGCTCGCCCCGGGAAACTGCTGAATGCAGAATTCGGTCCTGCAACTCGTTTAGGATTTCCGCTCGTGATTTAGGGCGGCCTCTTTACGCAAAGGACCCTCCTGCTCCAGCGTGCGCCCTCCCACATCGGAAGGGCTCTTCTCCTTGCCAAAGCAAAAGAGGAGCGAGGGCATCAGGCGGCGTTATTGAGGCGGCTGCTCTCGGAACTGCCCGGCTGCCATGGGGGCTCTAGCGGTGATCTGGGGCTTGCTGCACCCTCTGCTCGTGGCCCTCCTCGCTGTCTTTGTGTTTTATTGCTGCTACATCAAATCAGTCCACATGAAATACGACCACATCCCCGGCCCCCCCAGGGCGAGGTAAGTGACCGGCCGGAGGAGGTGCTCGGTGGGAGGAGAGAAGGCGCATTGTGGGGATGGGCTGCTTAGAGAAGTTTCCCAATTGGGGTCCGCGGGCTTCCTTCAGGTGGTCTGCAGTTGTGTGGCTGCGTTAAAATGATCATTTGAAAGTTGTACAACTTCAATTGAAAGTTGTACAACTTCCAGAAACAGTGCGTTTAAATGGGCATAAGATTAAAAAAAAAACACAAAAACACCAATGAGTGTTTCCTAAGCAATTTCCAATTTTCATATGTTATTGGACATATGGCTGCTGTCAGTCCCAACCAGCGTGGCAATGGTCAACAAGAGTGCCCTTATTTAGCGATCCTCAGGCAGGCAATTCCACTCTCCCCACCCCACGGTTTCCTCCTCTGCCAGCTGACACATCTGGCTACAGAACAGGATGGATTTTCATTAGGTGTGTGTATGTGTTGGAAGGGGTCTATTTAGGTTGGCTTTCCCACCTCCAGGATTGTGGCCGCATCCGCATCATGCATTTAAAGCAGTGTTCCTTTCCCTAAAGAATCATGGGAACTAGTTTGTTAAGGATTCTGGGAATTGCAGCTGTGCATTCCCAGAATTCTTTGGGGGAAGCCGTGTGCTTTCAACGTGTGCTCAACACATGGTGTGGGCCGTGACCCTAACGTTAGGGCCGGCCCTGTTTCCCTGTCTACAGTCACTAGTGAAGCATAGTGATTTACGGTGTGAACTACAAGCTGGGAAGTTCTGGAGCCACACACTCTCCTGGCGCCTTTGGGCCAGTCACTATTCTGTCAGGCTCAGCCCCATATTTGCAATAAAAGAATAAGAGTCCTGGCCTATCATACTGGTTTGTTGCAAGGATTACTGAGACAGAACTTCTCCAGCCCCAGCAATACACAATACACAGGAGGGGGGGGACACACCATTCCTCCTCCTCATGCTCTGTGTGCATGCATTTTTTTAAAAAAATAGTTTTTATTGGAAATTTCAACATAACAATTTATCAAAAACATATCATCCTCATTCCCCCCCCCTCCCCTGTGTGCATGCATTTTGAGTCTCTTATAGTTTCTGGGGATATATGTTCTTTTGTGGATGTTTTGATGGCCCCTGGGAATACATATCTTTACTGTGGCTTTCTCAGTGTGTATATAGCTTCCCTTGGGTCATTATGTTCCTTGTTATAAGACATGCATTGTATTGTGAAATTGGTTGTTGAGGTCGCATAGGAATTCCTGCTTACTTTGACCTTGGTATTTGACTCCTGTAAGGAGCCCCGAAGGTTTTCATCAAGTCATGCTTGACTTTTCTTAACGTTGCAGCTTTTTCTTCGGTCACCTGCCACTCGTTTGGGGAATGATTAAAAAGCAGGAAGTTTATTTCGATCTCTTTAAGCAGTGGTAAGTTATTTTGCGTATTCAGACAGCTCGAAACGAGAGGCTGTGCACTGCATTTACTAGACCAATGTAGTTAAGACTGCTGGCTGATTTATTTTTCCAGTCCCTCTTTTTAGTTTCCAATTTCCTGTTTGCTTTTGGGTTTGCTTTTTAAAGATGCACTAGAATTGCTATTCAGGATCCTCCCCTGAGACTTTAGTTAAAAGCTAAACCTCTCATTAGTGCTTGCGGGTCTGCATCTTGGCTGTGCACAGATACGTAAGTACATAAGACACCATGTAGCACACTGTCTGACAACTCACACGCTCAGGGGTGGACCACGGACTGTTCAGTTTTGCTGTCTGAGGTGAAAGGGGAAGGCATGAGCTGCCCACTGCCCAATGTCCACATTCCCTTGTTGCCCCAGCCAAAGCCTCTCTTACTGGCGTTGCACAACTGAGGCTCCTGGGCTCTTGCAAGAAGCCCCTGTTGCACAATCTCGCTAGAACTTGGAAGCCGCAGCAGCTGCTTCTCCTTTCTCCTCTGGTGGTGACGGCAGCAGGAGCGCATCCCTGGGTTCAATGGTCACTTTTTGTCTTCATAGGGCTGAGGAATATGGACCAGTCCTGCGTTTAAATGCCTTTCACAAAGTTGCATTATTAGTATCAGCCCCTGAAGGAGTAAAGGTACGCTATGAAACATTATCTCTCCTAAGACTGAAAGTGAACGTAGTATAAAAAGAGAAAATGGAGTTCATTTTCACAGCTGAAATGGCAGATGTGCAAATGAGCAAATCAAATGCTATTTTGGCTATTGGAATTGTCTGTTCCTCACATGCTTCAGTCAGGCTGTTGACTGTTTTTTTTAAAAGGCAAAAAAAATGTTTTTAAATCACAGCATGAACATTTATGCATTCTTCCCTTTTAATTGTGTTTTCATTTTTTAAAGTAACATTTTTATCCAATTCAAAATTATTCTAGGGGTGGCTGGCTCTTTTGAGTGGAGTGGGGGGACATCAGCTAGTCAGAACTGTGTCAAATTTCTGCTTTAAACTTGTAGAACAATCTACAAGTACGTCTCCACAGCAGAGGAATAGGTATGTTTTGACTAAGTTCAGCGAAAGTGCTTGCAGTTTAGGCCCTCACTATCCTAAAAATAACTACAATATTTGGTATTTTAATGCAATGCAATCTTTGGCGATCACTCGTAGCTGAGTAAGATTGTCTTCCATAAACACGATTTTAACAATGAGTCTGTAAGTGACTGTGGAGGCCAATTCTGGATCCACACATCCTTCCACAGTGGGGACATTGGTTTCCGGGTGGGAGTTGATCACAGTGAGGGTTTGCCAAACGTGCCTTCCTCTTAGCGCGTTTCTCCCTTGCATCCTGAGTTCGAGTGTCTTCAAAGCCCATGATAGCTTTTAAAGGCTGTTCTCCAATTGGAGCGCTCGCAGGCAAGTGTTTCCCAATACAATACAAGCAAATCCCCTATTTCCGCGGGGGTTGTGTTCCAGGTCAAAGTGTGCATTGGCCGAGCACACAGAAGCCTGTCCCATTCCGTCCCTATTCCTCCCTCTTCTGGGTCGAAAAGCACCCATGCATCAACGCTTGCATGTCAATTGCCCATGCCTAAAATGGTTGCTACCTGTACAATACAATAATATTGCATGTAACCTAAATAGGAAGTGTATTGCTCTTTCTGAAATGGTAGTATCTGAGAAAACAATGCCGTGCTGGCTGGCGCTAATGGGAACTGGAGACCAACAAGCTCTGGAGAGCCACAGCTTGGCCACTTTAAAGCTAATCTAGATGGGATTGCATCAACCCTGTCCCAAACTGAAGCTTAACCAGAGGCTAGCATTCTTGACACTAAACGCTTGTTTTTTAAAATATCCCCTTGAAAATCTATAGCTCTTCCCCCCCCTTTTTTTTTGTCTGTGTGATAGTACTTTATATAACATTAAAGGTACATACTGGAACATTGACTGAACAGATTTCATCTTAGGTGTACTTGACATCACCAGAATACCCAAAGGACCCCATGGTATACCGTGGTCTTCATGATATGTATGGCGTAAGGTAAGTAACATATGGGATAAAGGTAAAGGGATCCCTGACCATTAGGTCCAGTCGTGACCAACTCTGGGGTTGTGGCGCTCATCTCACTTTATTGGCCGAGGGAGCCGGCATGCAGCTTCCGGGTCATGTGGCCAGCATGACTAAGCCACTTCTGGCGAACCAGAGCAGTGCACGGAAACGCCGTTTACCTTCCTGCCAGAGCAGTACTTATTTATCTACTTGCACTTTGACGTGCTTTCGAACTGCTAGGTTGGCAGGAGCAGGGACCGAGCAACGGGAGCTCACCCCGTCGCGGGGATTCAAACCGCCAACCTTCTGATCAGCAAGTCCTAGGCTCTGTGGTTTAATCCACAGCACCACCCGCGTCCCTTAACATATGGGGTAAAACAATCCAATAATCTGCCAAAGCTATCTGTTTTCAGAAAGTGAGTCAAAGCTACTAGCACGAGGTTAACCTGAAACACTCTTGCTTAATTCAGATACTGTATCAGGCTGCAATGGGACGCAGGTGGCGCTGTGGGTTAAAGCCTCAGCACCTAGGGCTTGCCGATCGCATGGTCGGCAGTTCGAATCCCCGCGGCAGGGTGCGCTCCCGTTGCTCGCTCCCAGCACCTGCCAACCTAGCAGTTCGAAAGCACCTCCAGGTGCAAGTAGATAAATAGGGACCGCTTACTAGCGGGAAGGTAAACGGCGTTTCCGTGTGCGGCTCTGGCTCGCCAGAGCAGCGATGTCACGCTGGCCAC